TCAGATAGAGGCAACATCCAGGCTGACTTGAAAGTGAAACTGCTCAACCTGTTACTATTCCACTTGATTAAGTTTTCAGGGTGCAGTTAGATGGGGGATATGGCCTGCGGCTCCCAGCTTTCCTGTTTTAGATGTCAGCCTTGGGCAGGCAGCCGAAAAAGGACAGGAGCCAAGAAAAAAAAACCCCACCCATTATCTTGCTTTGTGCCAGTCCTGGTGTGCAGTGCTGTACAAGCATTTTCTCATTGATTCTTTAACAGCCGGTTAGAAAGAAATTATCCCTATTTTAAAGGTGAGGAAACTGTGATTTGGTGACATCAATCAAATGATTCAGAACCACACAGCTAGTGAGCTGTAGAGCCAGGGTTTACATTTGGTGTTTCTGGCACCACAGTCCATACCCTTAACCTTTACACTATCCTCTCAATTATGAGTCCTGGGGGTAGAGGACCATCCATATTTAAGTAAACAGACAGTGTGTGGCTTGAGGGCAGGTGGCAATTGCTTTTTTCTATGTGTCATTAGCATCTGACACAGAACCTTGCAGCTGCTTGGTGAAAATGCACCTAACTGAAATGGACTAATCTCATTTTATCTTTCAACTACTCAAACACACATGAGTGTAATTTAAGTTTCTACTACTTTAATAATGGGAAATAGAAGTGGGGGCCTCCAGTTTTACCAGTTAACTTTTACTTGATTGAACTTCAGCTTCCACTATTATCTTGTATCTTACGCGTTACAGACCTCAAACCATGAAACCCCTTAGCTCTACAACTCATGGACAGGCTCACTTTCTGTTCTTGAAAAACTGCCACGCTTATTTATACTATAACGGACATTTCCCTGAGCATCAAATTCCATTATCATAGTGCACACCCTTCTCCTACAGGAATTTCTTTTTTTCTCCCCCAGAGGGATTTGGGGGTACCTTGTTCTCTTTCCTGGAGGACTCTACACCATTTCCTCCTAACTTGCAGATGCTCCTTTCTCCAAAGAGCAAGGACATTTTCTTCAAATGCCAAGCCAATATATGGTCATTCTCAAACTGTCCACTGACTGAACAGCACCAGCATCACAAGAGAACATGTTAGAACATGCCAATGCTCGGCCCCACCCAAGACCTACTGAATCAGATGCTCAGGGGTGGAGCCAAATAGTCTGTTTTAACAAGCCCTCCAGATAACTCTGATGCACAGTAAGATTTGAGATCCACTATTTTAAGCCCCGAGAGAGTTCATTTTGCTACATTGAGAACTTCACAATAAGAAGAAGGAGGCTGACATTCAATTTTTGCATCAAAATTTCTTTTCACCAGTCATCACTACCCAGCAAATCGTTCAAACTTCCTTCAGATCAAGAGTTTTAAAGCTGAGCCTTTGCCCTTGATGCTCTGTCAGCTTTGTGTTTCTTAAAGAAATGTATTCTTATCATTGTAGGTGAACTCTGTTGCCTCTTGACTGTATTGACAGGGGCTTGATAGAGTATAAAGATAAGGGCTTGATGCAGGATGTGCGGAATTAGTTTAGATGGTGGCAAGAGTAAAACGTAGATGGAGAGAGGTAAGGAGGAAAAATGGCCCAATTCCTGTTTATGGAATTAGTTCCCTTGCTTGGGGATGGTGAAGTAAATGTATATTCAAGATTAGTGCAAGGCTGGTCTTGAGGTGGGTGGCTGCACCTACCTAGGATGAAGAGAAGTAATGCTGTCATTCCCGGGGGGGCCAGGCTACTAGAGTAGAGTGACCCTGGGCAGAGGATCATGATGAAGACCTTTACTGACAAGGTACCTCAAGAAGGACAGCAAGGAGTCTGGAGAGAGGTGGCTTCCCCAGAAGATGAAGGCAGCAGCTGCAGAGATAAAAGAGATAGGGAGGGTATTTGCAAAGACAGCAGCAGCACCTATGAGCAGGCGAGGCAAGGCTTGCTCTACTGCCTCTGCTGAAGGCTGTATCAAAGAGCAATCATCAAGCCTGAAGCTTTGTGTTAAGTGTTCTGTTAGGGTCAGGTGTGGCATAAATGGGCAGGAGGTGGGGTCTCTGTGGAGGAAAAAGGTGAGTACCAGGATCCTAGCAGGAGAAGGCCAGTGTTTGGAGAGACACAATGGATATATAAGTACTGCAGCAGGGAAAATAAATTATTCATCTTATAAACAGGAATTCTATCCTCACCATTTGCCAGGCACTATGCCTTTCCGGGACCTTGGGACTGAGAGTTCATTTCTAATTTTCCTTTGTAGTTCTAACTTGTCCTTCATTTTTTTCCCCCACTGTCTTCTGTTCTATGGGCCAGGTCTTGTTAGCATCTGTAGATTGCTGTAGTCTAAGGGGCCTCGTGTCAAGCTGAGGTTTCCTTAGAAACAAATAGAGATTTTGCTTTCTGAGTCTTGCAGGGAGTATTTCTGGCAATTTATCAGAAATGGCAGTGCGTTCCTTGGGCAAGGTACTTGCACTCCTTAGAGGAAAAACAAAATAAACAGAACATTATCCTAGAACAGAGCTGTTATATTTGATTTTTCTGTTTTGCCTTTTCCACTGTGTCTGGCTCTGCAAATCCACCTATGAGTACCTTCTGAGCATCTTCAGGTGAGATATGTTCAACTCCAATTGTTCCCCACACAATGCTGGTGCTGTCTAGCCTCCTCCAGATATACTTCAGAGGGTGTCTAAGAGCAGGGAGGAAGGAGAGGTGGGAAGGAAAGAGCACCATTGAGGGCATTTGTTGCAACAAATTGAGGGAGTGGGGGACAAGGGACTCAAAAAAGATCATTGATTGTGCTCTTGAAACTTGTGGTAGTTTGGGTCAAAGTTATGCTCTGTATGCTAGAAAACCTTGTGGAAATTTGATTTTCAATAACAAATATCCAGGCAGTGGTAATGATTGTGATCTGAAAATGGAGTTTAGAGGCAAAGGCAAAAGGTAATCAATCCAAATTTCATAATGACCATGTCAGAAAGGCTTAAATAAATTAGAATAGGGATCGGTAGCAGCATTATGAGAAAGTTTTCAAGGGAAAAAGTCTGAAGTCAGTAGATATTCCAAACTACTTTGGCCTTCATACTCAACCACTTTGTCTCTGTGGACAGGCCCTGAACAGCCCACAGTCTGTTCTCTATGGCTTGTGATACTTGGTGATAATCCACAGCCTATTTTGTTTTAGAACACACTTATAGTTTCCACTTGTGATATAAGCAGAGCTAGATACTGCTGGGCTTCCTTCCCATTCCTTTATTTAATGTGCAGGGTTTATGTAAGTTTACTGTTCATTTAAATCTCTAATGTGTGGCTGCTGAATGTGATGAAGGACATATCTGGATCCAAGCAATATTCTTGGCAGGAATACCCAGATACATCGGGAATCCAGCTGTGTTTAATTTTTCTAGAACAGAGGGGTGACTTCTCTAAGTGACATGAGACCCCCCCCCCCAATTAGGTTGTGATCATTTCTCAAGACCTCTTAAGGACCAATGTCTCTCAATCAGTGACAAGTCTTAATTTTTTTGGCTCACTTCATTCATCTCATTAGATAATGAAACTGCTCCATATTGTGGGATATGTATCATTTTGTGGATGAGAGCAATATGCTAGGAAGAGCTTTTAAAAGATGATGGACTATGGAGAAGTAGCTCAATTATCATAAACATTTATGGAAATAGTGGCTTAAATCTAGGCTTGAGATGTAGCATTGCCTACGGCTGTTTCCAGAGAGTGCCATGTGATTAATTACGCCACTCAAGAATATGAGGACCAAATTGTTTTTCATCTTCTTTAGGTTATCCTAGTGACTCCTGGAGCCACAGCTAGAACAGAGTCTTCAAAGTATTGATAAAACAATAAAAATAAGACTTTTGAGAAAGAAGAGATAACTTCGTTTGCACATTATTTCCTCAAGAGAGTGGTGAGTGTGATCGTTTTGAAACAGGGCTGCATGTTCTTTGACAATCTTCCTATAGAGGTATGTAAATGACCCATCCTCCTGAATCTGGATGGGTTTGTGAGTGTGTCAACCAAAAGAACTTGGCAGAATAGACTGTGCAACTTCTGAGGCTAGGTTATCAAGGCCATGAGCTTCTATCTCATTTTCTGGACTACTCACCCTTGGAATCCCAAGTTACTGTGTAATAAAGCTAACTACTCTTAGGCTGCTATGATGGATAGGTCCCAAGTAGGTGCTCTGAACCAAACTTCTAGACCTGTGAGTGAATGAGACTTTCAGATGAGACCACTTCAATCAACTCCACCCATTCAAGTTTTCACATCTGAGGCTACAGTCATTGTGGAGGGGAAATAATCCACCTCTGCTCTACCTGATCCAAATTTTTGACCCATGGAATATGAAGTCATAAAAAAATGGTTGTTGTTTTCTGCCACTAAACTTTAGGGTGGCTTATAGTTCAGCAGTAGATGATTAGAATGGTGGGTAAAACTAGAATTTGTACAATAGTGGTAGCTACACATTGAACACTTCTTGATCTACGTTTGTAGAACATGGCAAAGCAGAGTATTTCTAGTTACTGGGGGTGGGAGCTGTAAAAGAAAATAAAACTTCAGGACCCTCTAAATTTATTATGCCAAGGGGAAGGTAAGCCCTGGAGACTCAGTCACATGTATGTTTGCAATTCTTCTTAGATTATAGCTAATTATTTCTACCCTGTTATTCTCTTTCTGTAAATGACTAGGAGAGACCAGACCTCTTCCCCTTCCAATCACTGATCTTTGTTATAGATTACCTGCTCCCTTTATTGTCCTGAACCTAAGTCAGACAAGATGTCATAAAAAACCTCATGACTGTTATGTCTTCAGTGTGGAATGTTAGATATACCTTTCTTCCAAAAAAGACCCCTCAACTATATTAAATCATAGTAACTATTAAACCTTGCAGAGAAAGATGTCAAAATTCTGTCATGGTTCTCTAAACTTTGTCTATAAAAGTAATGACAAACTTTTACACTTCAGAACACTGACTTCCTTTCTCTGGAATCTGTTTTCTAGGTGGCCATCCTCAAGTGTTGCGCTTGAATAAGAACAGATTCTGACCCTTTTGATTCCTTTAAGTTGACAGGATGGAGTAAATAATGCTGCAATCACGAGTAAGTATGCCTCCTTGGAGACAACCATGTACCATTTAGGGGGACTAGCCCCAGGAAATTAGCAGGTGGGGGACTAGTAACTTATACAGTAAGTGGCTGGTTGGTTCTAGGGTCATGTACCTATTAACATTCATGGCCTCACTGAAGATCATCAATCTGTCCAGTTCCCACTGTGCTCCTTTTAGCAGGGATAGTTGGTGTATTAATCAGTGCCCATTAGGGAAAAACAGAAGACCACATTTAATATAAGGATTTAAACTAGTTAGATTGCCCCCGTATTTGGTGGTTTAATGCAAAAGCATTCATTTATCCCATGAGCATAGGGATACAAAAGATTAGTGAGGACACTGGAGCTGCACTAGAGCTTGGGGGAGAGGCCCCTGCAGCTCCATCACTTGAGTTATGAGGGGGCTGCCATGCTGCTGCTGCTGGTGGGGCACCTGTGTCAGTGCTCCAGCCACTAAGAGGAAGCTGTGCAGCTGCTGAGGCACTACTGACAGTGGTTGGAGCTGAGAGTGCCAAAAGATTCTAGAGGTTGGGCCTATGGCCGTCTGCTCTAGTCACCAGATCTGTAGGCCAGAGGAGTCCCTTCTTCCCTTTACCAATCTTTCTTTCTTTCTTTCTTTTTTTTTTTTTTAGACAGAGTTTCACTCTTGTTACCCAGGCTGGAGTGCAATGGCGCGATCTCGGCTCACCGCAACCTCCGCCTCCTGGGTTCAGGCAATTCTTCTGCCTCAACCTCCTGAGTAGCTGGGATTACAGGCATGCGCCACCATGCCCAGCTAATGTTTTGTATTTTTAGTAGAGAAGGGGTTTCACCATGTTGATCAGGATGGTCTCGATCTATTCCTTGTGATCCACCCACCTCGGCCTCCCAAAGTGCTGGGATTACAGGCTTGAGCCACCGCGCCCCGCTACCAATCTTTTAATCTCCTGCCCGTGCCTCCCATTGGTCAACACTGAAAAAAAAAAAAAAACAGTTGCAAGGGATTCTGGGAAGTGTAGTTTGGAGGACTCTGAGTTTTACACTCACAAAGCACAGCAGGGATGGTCTCAGAGCTGAGAAAGACTGGATAAGTAACTGGTACCACTGGGAATCTTAATCCTTGAAATCCTCAAGAAAACCCTCCAGAATACTATCCACAAATCAAAATAAGTTAGGGCTCTTTTTGGTTGAAAGAAAATCCGAAGCCAAGTTAACTTAAGCAAAAAATAAATTTTTGGCCTCTATAATTGAAGAGTCCCAGTATAGCTAGGTTTGGGTAATGGATTAAATGATTTCACCAGGACCTGGTCTTTCTCCATCTCTCACTCTGCTTTTCTTTTCCTTTTTTTTTTTTTCTACTTTTAGCTATGATCTCTTAATATGGAAGCAAGATTTTTCTCAGCAGATTTAAAACTTCACAGTTAACAAAAATAACAGAAATAGGGATACTTCCTCTCCATTTCAATTATTCCACTCCACCTCCCTGAGGCATCTATTATTGGTTCTGATCTTTCATGTGCTAAATTGTGCTAGGTTCAGCACTAAATAAAGCCTGGGTTCAAGGATTGGTAGTAATATCACCTTGGACTAAATTCAAGTGTACTTTACCTTGCTTTACATACAAAGTATCAAGTAAGTCATGCAAAAATCATACATATAGTTGAGACAAGGAAGCATGGGTGTGAATGAGGTTCCCCATTGTCATTCTTGTTTTACTCAGTCTTAAGAATCTGTATGGAGGCAATGTTTCCTGGGTCAGAGGATCACATGCCTTTTACTCACCCAGCCTCTTTAACATCCAGAAAAATATTTCTGGTATGATCCAAGGGAATTATTATGTTGACCAGCAATGAGTGACTAAAGCATACCCTCTGGACCTCAAGATTTTTGCTATGCTAGCCCTGAGGAGACAGCCTCCCCTTTTCTGCGCTAAATAGTAGTGCCCAGAAAGTTTCTATTTATATCCACATAAAGTCTTTTCGTGGCCAGACTGAGTTATGGTTTACCACACCCTCTGCACATATTATGTCATAGAGACTTTGATTTCCTCATTGTATGGGTTAGGGTCATATGCCCATCTTTGGATCTAAGATGAGATCAGCTTAATCCAGCTCAATCTAAGATGAGATCAGCTCTATCCAATTCAAAGGCAAGGGGGAAGGGTAACTTCACAAAAGAAAATACTGGGGCAGGGGTGAGGGTACTATTATAAGAAGAGAAACTGGGTACTAGGGAGACAGAAGCAAAATCAGTCTACTGGTGGTTTCCTCTTATTCTGGGTGCAGGAGACTCTGAGTCTAGGTCCCTACCTGTGTTCAGCAACCTGGGTTCTGGGAAAGGACAAGTCTTCAATATTCTCTCCAATTCTTGATGTTGTTTCCCAGAACCCAGCTTATCCATTCTTTCCCAGTTGCCATATATTCATTGATGACTTGTCAACACACTCCAAAACGCCATGTCTACAACCTTGGCTATTGTTCCCCCATATTTGGCAGCTGTCTACTCTTCTCCAGCATCTGCTGCCTTAGCAGTGCTATTCTGAGTATGAAGAGGCTTTTCCAGGTTGGTCTCCTCTCTAGCAGGGTTTTGAGTTCTTTCCAACTTCTGTGTTTTCCAAGATGCAATCCATTCTGTTTCTCTGCAGTTGGGGAGTTCCCACTAGCCAAGAATTACTTCTTGTTAAATCATCCCTTCCAAATGTTTTCTCTACAACCACTATAATGAACTGACAGATGGGTGTCTGATCTTCAGGAGATATAATGAAGATTTATTTTCTAAACTTTTAGGAGAAAAAAAGGTTATCATAGCAAAAAGTTAACATACTGCCAAATTGCACACAATTCAACCAAAAATGTCAATTTCATTGGATATGACTTTTCCCTCCAAATCATGTTGACAATATAGATATGCTTGCACATACAGAGTTTACACCATCTTGTTGATTGCCTTGCTGATAAACATTAATTTTTGAGAAAACTGGAACTTACGTTGGTTCCATAAATCTTATATTTCGAATAACATTTTAAAAACATTGACTCTGAGTGGGTAATAGTTGCATTCATTTGATTCTCCTGTGTCCTTGAGAAAAAAATGATCTGGGTGCCTCATTTGGGCAGCCTGAAGAAAAATACTCACATGTATGGGACTATCAGGTCCATTTTATACTTAACTATAAATAATGGCCTTCTGGGATTGAACTATTACTGTAGCTCAGATTTAAATAGGCAAATAAATCTGCCTTGAGAAATTTTTAATTCCTGGAATCACATGTTACACTTGTGAATAACTAATCACTAAGCCTGTTACTTGACTTTCTTAAGGGCCTTGTTCTCTGGCTTCTGTAGCAGCTTCCTCCCTCCCTATTCCTCTATTAAAGGGTCATTGCCTAGGAGTTTGCTCCGAGGTTAAATCCAGCTGTATTTATAGATTTTTTTTTAACAGTAATAAGCAAAACCCACAAAATAATTAGCACAAAATAATTGACCTCTATGTCTGAAATCAACACAGAGGCTGAAATGCCACTGCTAGTTGGCCAAAAATTTATGTTAAATGTTCTGGTGGATGAATTGGCTCTATACCCAGAGTGAACAGTGCAGGCAAACCTTAAAAAAACAAAATGTACTAAACCACCAACTGACATTATGGAAATAAGACCCTTGCTGGCCAAAAACCACAGTGTATCAATTAGCAGGATTTTAGTAGTTGGCAGAGGGAACTCTGGTTCTGGAAACAGAGTGCTACATGTTTTATGTAGTCGTATAATATTTCCCTTGTATTCAAAGATGGTACACAACACCTGCAGTGTGTATTGAGGAAGCTCGAATTACCGTGTTAATGTTTGCATCAACTGAGTTTGCCCTTCTATCCTTTAAATCTGGTGAATGAAATGACTAATTGAATTACCTAATAGATTGGTCCATTTGCTTTTCTCGCCACAGCTCTCCATGGAATCTCAAGGACACCACATTTTCCCCCATCTTGTGGAAGGTGAGGTGGCAGGAATCTCGATGGCTTGATTCTTTCGAATGTGACTTTAGAGAATGGCTGAATGAACTCTGGTGTGTGGTCATCGCAGCAGATGTGAGTGACAGTTGTTGAATTTGTCAGTTGAATCTGTCAGTTCTTCCAGAGTTCAGAGGTTGTATGGAGGAAGTTCACTTTAGCCAGACTCATAGGGCCCTACCTAAAGGTAGCATATGTTTGTATCAGACAGTCAAGAATTGAAATATTGGCATTGCCATTTATTAGTTTATTAATTTTGGGAAAGGCCTTAATCTTTATGAATTTTAGTTTCCTCATTTGGAAAATGCAGAGATTGCCTACTTCATATAATTATTGTGAGAATGAGGAATAATAGGTCAAACACAAATCTCTGCTTGGCACGCATTAGGTACCACTAAATAGTTTATTCACTTACATTAATGGTAAACCTGGCAGGGCATCAGTTTGCTCAAGCAGGTAAAATTACATCCTAGAAAGGTGTTTTGTGCTTACAAATTCAGGATAAAGATTTCTGGATGCCCCTTAAGGATAATCTGTTTGTTTGTTTGTTTTGTTTGCTAAATCCATTAATTTCACCCTTGACCACTTTGAAATCAGGCAGATCTTATTTTCTCTATAGCCTCTGGAAAGTTACTAGATCTTCCTGAGCCTTAGTTTCTCTGCAGTAGAATGGACACAGTAGTCCTGTTTTTTTTTTTTTTTTTTTTGTATTTCTGTGAAGATTAAATAAGATGACATTCATAAAACACCTTGTAGAGTATCTGCACCTTTGTGGAATAAATGTGATAATTAATTCCTTTCTTTTTCTTAAATTTTAAGGATGACCTTTTCTGATATTTGCTCCAAACTCTGAGTGAGACCCTGTGTAAGTCCCACAGGTATGTAAGCACTGTTTCTCCCGAGTGACTGGGCCACTGTCCTTGCACAGACCTGCCCATCTTCCCTTACTATGTTTCAGTAAAGACAAATAAGACTGAAGGTAAAGTGTAGGATGTTTTAACACCCAATTAGCATTTTTAGCTCATGCTCTCCTCTTTGCCTCGGTTTTGATAAAAGTCCCAGAATTTTATGAACTTTGGTTTATCAGTTGTTGGCATTCAGTCAGTGCATTTACAAATTTGCAAACCAGCTTAGCTTACTCTGTTGTATTAGTTTTCCATTGCTACTGTAATAAAATGCAACAATTTTAGCTGCTAATATAAGACAAACTTAGTGTCTTACAGTTCTGTGGGTCAGAAGTCTGACACCGGTATTCCTGAGCTAAAATAAAGGTGTCCATGGGGCTGCATTTGTTTTGGGATGCTCCAAGAAAGCGTCGTTTCCTTGCTCTTCTGGTCTTGGCAGAAATCCATTCTTAGCTGTCGCAGCCCTGGGTCCCTGTGTTCTTACTGGCTGTAAGCTGCCGGCAGTCCCCAGGTTCTACAGGCTACTGCAGTCTTTGGCTCATGATCTGCTTCCTCGTTCTTCAAAGTCAGCACATTCTTCTCAAGTTGCTCAGAATCGCCCTGCTTCTTTCCTGTCTTTCACTTTTAAGGAATTGTGATATTATATCTGACCCACCCAGATAATCCAGAATAATATTCCCATCTCAAGGTATTAATCAGTTCTGCAAAGTCGCTCTTGCATGTAAGGTAGCATACTCAGATTCCTGGACTTAGGATGTAGATATATTTGGGGGTCATAAATCTGCGTACTACACCTCTAGACAGACTTGGACAAGTGAAGAAAGCAAACTGAAGTCTCTGAGATATTTTGATTTTACTATATGTGCCTGGAATATTCCTGGAAAAAAAAAAAACTGTAGCAAATAAAGAGGCTGTAGCATGTAACAGATTAAGATATTTAAAAGGCAGAAGAAAAAAAGAGCAGACTTTCTAGTACCTAGTTACAGGTCCTGCTAACTACAGTCTAAATTATCCTTTAAGGAATTTTTGACAGGTTGGTAAATTACAACCTACACAACCTTAATTAATTTTGTCATATCTCCAATTCACTCAGATTGCCTGAGTTTTTTCTTTTTCTTCCATATTTTTCTAGTGGCTCTGAGTTTAGTTGCTCTCCCAAGAAAATTGAGGCAAAACAGAAAGAACAGCTGTTTTTTTTTTTTAATTTTATTTTTATTCATGCTGTGCTTTTTGGCTGAATTCATAAGGCACAGAAAGATGAAGTGTACTGTATTAAACTACAATAATAACATGAACATGAAGCGATAATGTGGGACAATACCATGGAATTATAAGCGACAGAATAATATGGGCCTCTAGGTTAAATAGCTCTTAGCATTCAAACTCCAGAAATCACTCTTATGGGCATTTTGTTAGGTGAAAGTGAGTCTGAGAAACACCGGGATGGTGCAGGCTGGAGACCACGTGAGACAGACTGGGAGAGGGTAACACTAGGTAAGGGTTCCTCCATGCCAGCTGCACAGTAGGACAAACTAGGGACCTTTATGAAAATACGATGCATGGATCCCAACCTCAGAGACTCTGATTTAATTGGTCTGGAGGATTTTTTTAAATAGCTCCCCAGGTAATTCTAATATGCAGTCAGGATTGACAGTCATTGCATCTTATTAACCTCCATTATACTAGTGACAGTTCTGAAAATCCCTGTGACCAGGCACCCAAACAGGGGGTTTTCAAGGGCAGGGATAGAGCAGAAGAGTCAAGTGAGGCTGGGGTTCCAAGGTGCAAAAACCTTAGGCTGAACTCTTCTGTCGTTCTGGCATTCCTACTGTCTTGCCTGTCCATAAGATAGAGACTGGGTCTCAGGACTCAGGCCAAAAGATCAAAATTGATTTCTACTTCAAAGGGGCCTAGGTCCTGGAGCACCTTGTATTCATTTCCAGAAGATAGAAACCCCTTCTTACTGCAATTGAGGCTCCTACGGGTGTGCCATTATGGGAGTAAGTGTAAAGGGGTAGACTGATTGTAAATATCATGGTTAAGATAGTCCCCTAAGCTCCTGGCTTTTTCCATCTCAGGGATCCTGTTTGGCTTCTTCAATGCCAGAAGCCTTTCTGCTCAAGAGCCATGCTGTTCCTCCAGGGTTTGAGGCTCTTTCAACCCTGCTGCTGGCCAAATGATCTCTCTACTGGTGTTATTTCTTCTTGTCCTGGTTGTAAGAGCCGAGCCCTGCTCCCAGATTTGAAGAGAGTTTGGTGTTTGTATCATGACTTGGGCATATAATCATCACTGATCACATGTTGCAGGTATCCTCTGGAGCAGGCTGTGCTCCTGGAACAAGTTTACAAACCTTAATGAGAATCTCAAAAGGAATCCTCTTTTATATAACAGCCCTTCAATTTTCCTATTTATTTTGTTATTTCAGTTTATTTTAATCTATCTTCCTCACTAGCACAAGTTCAACTGGGCCTGAGACCAGAAAAGACAATGTGGGATCCTGCATCCAACAGTATTCCTTTTAGAAACCAAGCCCAGACTGAGTGGGTCCATTGCTGTTCTAATACTTTTACTCTTCTGTAGTTTACACAGTAGGAGATAATCTTTGAGATGGCAACAATGTCATTGCCCTCAGTGTGCCCAACAACTCACATCTCACAGCTGTAATAGGTCAGAGACAAATTCCACTGTGGAGTAAGGAAACAGTCTTCTAAAGGTGCATTGTATGTAGGGAGATACAGACATAACAAGTAATGAATGTTATATTCCCAGGAGCAGAGTCTGAGGGAAGACAGGTAGTAGTAAATCCTGAAATTGCAACATTTCCATGTAATTCATCAGCTTCTGAGAATCTCTCTAGTGACATTTATTGGTAGCAAGCTTTGTAGAACAGAATGATATGCTGGCTAGCCAAGTTGATTGCACTTCCAGGGTGAGTGGATTCCTGAATCCCTATTTAGATATAGGGCTAGAACGAGATTGAGAAGCTAGTGTGAATATTTTCATCTGGCATTTCTTTTCTCTACTAAGTGAATTCCTTTCTCCAAGTCCCAGAACCTTGTACAATGAGGTAATAAAAACCACAATTCCAGAAATTATAGTTGGATATTACTTTGATAATAATCACATTTGAATACTAGCCTTTATTTAAAACACTTCATTTATAGGCACTACACTTCCCAGAAAGCACCAGCAGCAACAATTTCCTTTACCCCACTATTTTCCTTCGATATTTTTTTAATTTGCATTTTTTACCCGTATGTTAAAAATACCTGTCTGGAAGAAGGAAAATTAGATCCGTGTTCAGCCTATTTTATGAGGCACCATTTTCTGTAAAAAGGGTTGGATTGTTTCCCAGTTTTCTTGTTGGACTCATGTCTCTGAATCAAGCAACAAATGGAGAAGAAGGCACTCATTTTTTTTCCCCGTACAGTTTTGAAGTTGGTCTGTTTTTCATAAAGTTAAAGTGGGGTTTTCCTTTGATAGAAGCCTTGGTAGGATTTTCTCAAGTCAGTTTTCTCTACCTCAAAATTAGAATCTATTATTCCCAGAGTCTAGCATTGGTCTATGTGACTTTATTTAGATTGCTGTATTTTCATGTTTTCCCCATGCTCTCATCTATATTTTAGTGAGAGATTGAAAGAAGCTGAAGTGGGAGCTGCTGCAAGTCATCATTTTATACCAGAAGTCTTCAGGGCTGTTTATCACTTCTCCTTATTTTAAACCACCTGCTTCAAATGCTTTTTGCTTCTCTCTTTCACCTGCTTTGCTGGAGAGAAAGCATGCCTGACTTTGGCATGGTGGAAATAGCATAATTTTTGCAGTTTATGTGAACTGTGATAATTAGTGATTTAAGTGTTTCTATGCTTAGGAAGGTAGTAAAGGTAGAGTGAGATCCTCTCAAAAACAAGACAAAATGAAGGATTGTCAGGGTCTTTCTTCACCAGTAAGGATTATGCAGTGCATTTTCCATCTAGCGCTGTTCTGAGAACTGTAATGATACTGAAGAATGACATGAGTCTTTATCTGCCCCCCAAATATCACAAGAGTCCCGTGAAGAGATGGGGTTTGGAAAAGCACGTATCATTCAGGTTTTCCCCCTTAATGCTCAGATGCCCACGTAAGGTTGGGAAAGGCTATCATAGCAGTGTGGTAGGAGGTGAAGAGAAGATGGGAAATAGACAGTGAAGATGGGGAAAAGGACATGCAGTGGTGGAGAATGGAGTGAGAGCTAGGTGTAGGGAGGAGCTTGTATTCATGGAAAATGGGTGGGAAGACTGGAAGGGACCTCAGGATAGAGAGGAGGATGTGTGAGAATGGAGGGGGAGCCTGGAGAGAAGGAGACTTATGAACAGAACTGACCACAAGGAAGCTTCATAAATTAAAGACATAATCAATACACAGGCAACATGGGGAGATAAAAAGGGATTCATGGCTTGAAAGATCAAGGGAAAATTTAATTATACTGTGATTGATAAAATATGATGAAAAGTAGCTCTCTGGCTGCTTCCTGATGCTGTTCTTTGCTTGGAAGTTCTGAGGATAAACTAGGCTTCTAGAGGAGGGAGTCAGCCCTTTGCCACTGGAGGCTGTCCAAGCAGAGCCAGGCAGCTATTGGGCCAGGACATCCTAAGAATACTGAGTTGATCATCCCTCTGAGGGGCTTTTGTGGCATGTTATCTAATAAACTCATGAGACCTTACAGATCAATCCCACACACTGGGGAATTTGTCTTTAGGGACATTTGTTCAAATCTCTGCAGTCTGTCTGGACCAATGTAGAGCTGCTTTAGCTCACTCATGTACTACCTTCTCATTACAAACCGATATCCATAAAAGATCAGGTTTATTCTGCCTTCATAGGACACCTCTTTCTGTGGCTTAAAAGTATCCCAGTTGAAGGCTCCCATCTAGGGTCCAAGGTAAGTTCTCTGCCCCTTAAGCCACTTGCCCTTGTGCAGCAAGAGATGGATAGCA